AAAGTCAATGGGGAAGCTGGCAGGAAGTCACAACCTGTGGTCACATGAGGTCCTTGCTTAACAACAGTGTGCGTTTCACTTAACAATGGCAACTGGAACGGCTGGAACTGCTGTTGTAAGTCAGCGCAGTAACATGACATCACACTTTATGACCATGCTGCTTAGCAATGGAGTTTCTGGTCTCAATTACCATTAAGTGAGGACTATCTGTAGTCTCATAATATTTTACCATTAGCACTGTTAACTGAGGCCAAAGAAAGAGAAAGTCTAAAGTATCTGGAGGGCATTAGTTCAAACCCTGATGTAGGTATAGAAAGTTTAATTTCCTAGATTTTGTAGTTCTTTAATATACAGATACAACCAGCACATGCACAAGTTGTTCTGTAACCCCTTTCACCCTCCTTTGGGTAAATGAAATAAAAATTAAGGGTCTTAAGATGAGATAGGGTGGGAGAGGGAAGTTGACAGGGGAAAATGATCTTATACATGAGGATGGGAAACACACTCTGGACATGTTCTTTTTCTAATTTGATTTCATCCATTTTTCAACTGCCATACGTGCCTCCCTGGTACAGTTCATAAGAACACGTGGCTCCTAACCTCCTGAAAGTTTTGCATCCACATACTAGTGCAATGGAGGGCACTATTTTTAGGCTCAAGGGAACCACAGACCTCTAGTTGCATGCACTTATTCATTCACATATACAGGTATGTGTGCATACCTTTTTTCACATATGCTGACCATTCATCATTCTGCCTCTTTTACCCCTTTTGCTTCCCGAAACACACTGGAGATCGCTGGTTTCTAGAATGCTTGATACCCTGCCACTAACAGCAGCAAAAAACCAACCATCAATTTCCTGCAAACTCCCTGTGGATCCCTATGGATCACAAGACCTCACTTCTTGTGGATGAGCAGCCTCTAGAATGCAGGATGCCTACAATCTAGTTTATTATTATTATTATTATTATTATTAATAATAATAATAATAATAATAACAACAATAATAATAATAAAAAAGCTGGGATGAGGCTGGAAAAGCAAACTTCATAAAGTTGCTGCTTGAACTATTAGCCCTAAGTAGCAAGAACAGCACCCCATATTAATGGTCTCTGTCTATTTCAATTGCTTTCACATTCCAGCAAACGAACAAGAATTACCTCTAGTTTTTAGAGGAATAACTTAATCACTATGGTTATTAAAGCTATTGATCTGTTTTAAAGAAGAGACAACATCACACCCAGGCTCCATAAATCACTTTTCCTTGATTGTGGCAGGATTCACATTTTCAAATTAACAGAACATTATTAAGAGCAAGTAGAGGAGTGAGGTTGCTGATATTCAGTTACACTCAGAATAATTCACTTGCTGCTTTCACTATGTTTTTCTCTTTTTCTCTGCTACCTCCCATCACCACACTATCCCAGTTTTGCTCCGGCCAAGAATAATGGATGATACTCTTACCGTCAAGTGGCCTTCATGATGATCAGGGAAATGTATGAATAAGTACTCGGTGGCCACCAACTGCATTATGGAATCACCCAAGAACTCCATTCTCTGATTATGGCCCCTGAAGCATGAGATAAAGGGAGGCAGAGATTATACAGGGAAGGGAACAACACTGCCTTGCTTTAGAACTGGATATTTTAGAAAAGGCAAAATAATAAGCTGGTGATCATATCATACATATTTACAACAATACAGTATATTTGTATTTGCTAAGCATGGGATTCCAGGGGGGATCAAAGGGGAGGCAAATGACAAAACATATTTAATGTTATCATGTAAATATTATGACTTATGCATTGCAAGTATATAATTGCAGCATTTCTGTGATGATGTCACTATGCTTGTAATGTCATCTTGGCATCATTGCAGGTTGCTGCAGATCCCACCACTGTTAGATAAGACAAAATATTGCTTTTAGGTTGTCAGAAGTAATAAAGGGGTATCACTACAGATTTAGCTATGAATCATTTTATGAAAATGTAAAATGTGGGCATTGAGGGGACTGCACCAAACGTCCCTGTGAAAGAACATTTGTTTGACTATGGTTCTGCATAAGTAAAAACTCTGGATACATTCAGCTATGGTTCCTCTGAACAAGTCAGGGTCAGAAACCATGATTTGATCTTTGCTTAATTTGAATGAAATGGCAAATTGTGGCTAATTGAAAACAGAACAGATGATTCCAACCTATGTCAGGGCCTGAAGCAAACCTTGTGTAGTTAAGTGTCTTGATAAGCAAGAATGTTGTTTCTTGCCTTTCAATATTTATCTCATAAAATCACAACTAATCTGAAACAAGGAAGTTTACAAATCTGGCAAACCATTGTTTCTTTGTTGGGACCTCTAAAGTCAGAGGTTCTGAAAAATCCAAACTGGGGAAACAACTGTAGATCAGCTCCAAATGAGACCCACACCAATCTCTCTTCATGCAGAACGACAGCCCCTCAGCCCTCCTGGCAGAAATAAAATGCAAGGCATCTGTTTGGGGGGGAAAAAAATCTCACAGCGTCAGATGGTTAAATCCCACTGTTCTCAAAGTGAAAGCCCGTGCCAAGAGCCGAACGTGAGTAAAAATTACTCCAATAGCATCCTCAAACTCAGTCAATTTCTGGAGGACAGGAGACGTCTCAATCAACTGTCTGTCAGTATTAGATTCTTGCAGCTGTAAATCAATATTAAACAATGAGGACAGCAAATTAGTTTTAGAGGAGAAACTTAAAGCTGAATTCAGAGAGCAAGTGAAGAAGCATGATTAGGTACTTTACATTTTACTTCAGCAATATGAGACAGAATCACAACACAGCAGATATCTTGGTAGCTTACAAGGCTACCCTAGTAATGCATGAACTGAGCATGAAGCTCTTTTTAATGGCAAACTCTAAAGAAAAAGTTCATCTCCATCAAAACAAGAGATTCAAGATCACAAGCTTTTTCTCCTATGCAACCATGTTGCTTAATTTTACTATATTTTATTAAACAAAATATAAAATGTTTTCTGCATCTATTTTTCCCCAAACTGGTACTCTCCACATACAGT